TAGCAAATCGGTTCTATTAACACAGCCTTTCTTAATCCAGAGTGTTGTGGCACACTGGTGTGCCTCCTGGCCTGCTCAGGGGTGTCTAAAAAATTTGTGGGACTGGGATGTGAAGAGGCGGGGGTGAAGACTGATGTGGAGGGGGCTCTTGATGTAAAAGGAGAACTCTGATGTGAATGGGGCTACTGATGCGAAGGGTGACTCTGATGTTAAAGGAGGAAAATCTTTGAAGGGAGCATTTTGATGTAAAGTGGGAAACCCATTGGGTTTTTTTATTTATTTATTTTTTGCATGGGGTTCCCCCTAAAATCTATACCATTAGACTGGGGTGCCTCAGCATTTTGCATTCTTTTAAAGGGTACCGTGATGAAAAAAGAAAAACAATTGAGAAATGCTGGCCTATGCAAAGTAAGTTCACTGCTTTTTTTCAATAGGAATTCAAGATAAAAGATACATTTGGCAGAGTACAGCTGAAGGACAGTTAAGGCGCCCAGACATTCTCCATGATATAGCCAATCTTCACTCGAATTGAGGTCCACTTTAGGCTTAGATATTGAAAAAAGAGCATTTTTCCTCTCTTCGATGGTGTTACCTATCTCAGATGCTTGCCACGTTTGATATAACAGGCTTCTTGATTACACCTGTTGAAGTCTTATGTTGTTCTTCCTCCAGCTGACAATTTCTATCTTCTTATAAGAGGTGAAAAAAATAGAAGCAAGGATGAGGTGGCATTCATCTCCTTTTTTAAGCTGACCACATAGCCACTTGCCCACATCATCCATGCTAATCCTAGTGCCATATAATCCTAAGCCCACCCCTAGCATTTTCAAAGATTGCTATAGTTCTTCTAAAGGTGCCCATACACCTTACAACCATCGCAAGACTTTTGTCTTGCGATGGTCGTAATCGAATTAAAAGCTTGTACGATCTGCCCATCTTGGACAGGCAGATTGTACGCTGAGGGGCGGGCTTTTCCTATGACCGCAATGCTGAACGGGCAGCGTGCGCACACCGGCCCATTCCGCAGTTGTCGAACCAGCAGGCTAGAAACCCGCCGACAATCGTACGATTGTCGGCGGGGTTTCTAGCCTGCTGGTTCGACAAAAGACGTGCGACGGTACAGTAAAAACGGTCGCACGCCTTCCATACACCTTGCGATAATCGTACGATCGAGGGATTTCCCGCGATTATCGTACGATAATCGCAAGGTGTATGGCCACCTTAAGACATGTAAGCTGCGGAAAAATTCAGTTTGGTTCGGATATTGTGTTATTTCGGATCCAAAATTCAATTTGTTTCGGGTTTTGGATTCAGACGAAATCCAAATTTTCGTTAGTTTCGGATGGGTTTATGAATATTTGTTGAAAATACCAAAGAAAACCAATACAGATATTAATACTAAGGCTGAATCACCTAGACCCAAACGGCATTCAGGATCCGAATTTCCGAATGGCATTGGGGAGCTCCTGAATGCAATTCGGAAATTCGGATCCTGATGCCATTCGGGTCTGGGAGCCATATACACATATTACTAAAGCTGAGGCTCCCTGACCCGAATGGCTATTGTGAGCTCCCGAATGCAATTTGGAAATTCGGATCCCGCATGTCATTCGCGTCAGGGAGCCTCAGCTTTAGTAATATATGTATATGGCTCCCAGACCCAAATAGCATCAGGATCCGAATTTCCGAATCACATTCAAGAGCTCCCGAATGCCATTCGGGTCTGGCAGCCATATACATATATTACTAAAGCTGAGGCTCCCAGACCCGATGGCATTTGTGAGCTCCCGAATGCAATTTGGAAATTCTGATCCCGCATGTCATTCGGGTCAGGGAGCCTCAGCTTTAGTAATATGTGTATATGGCTCCCAGACCCGAATAGCATCAGGATCCGAATTTCCGAATTGCATTCAGGAGCTCCCGAATTCCATTCGGGTCTGGGAGCCATATACATATATTACTAAAGCTGAGGCTCCCTGACCCGAATGACATGTGGGATCCTTTTTTTTCCAAATTGTATTCGGGAGCTCACGAATGCTATTTGGGTCAGGGAGCCTCAGTTTTAGTATTACATGTATATACTGAACACACATTTTCGTTACGGCATCAGATGGCTCGCCTGTGGTGGCATAACGAAAATTCGTCTTCAGACCCATTCGGTTACATTAAACCGAAAAACACATCTGAGTGGCCAGGAAAGTCACACGTCCGATTCAGTTCGGTTTTCAAACCAAATTCGGACGGGATCCGAAATTTGGAACGGAAATGCGGATTCGGACACATTCGGGTGCTTTGGGATTCAGAAATATGAATGTGTCTGCACGTCCGAATTTTGATTCGGAACGAAACGAATGGCACACATGTCTAGTTCCTCTCAGTCGGTTTCTAGGTACCATTTTGGATAGGATTGAGGTTGGATAGGAAACGGTTACCTTTTGAACAATAATGTTCCTGTGAGAACTGTTTAGGTCCTTCGCCAGTTTATCGAAAAACCATAGGTGTAGGTAAAACATTCCGAGGTCTGTTGAACAAGCAAGAGCTTCGTGTAGACAATCAGCAAAAAAAAAAATTAAATTTCTTGGCTGCAGGAGGAGGTATGTGTTCGAATTTAGATAAACTCGGCACATTTTATCCCGCTCGTCCATTTAAACGATGGAGCAGAGCCATCAGAGGATTAATGGGTCTCCCACAGCCAGACGCTGTACTCATATATTACATGGCTTGATTACAGAAAAATCAGCATTTAGGGACATTCCCAGAGCAAATGGTTTTCAACTTTCAGGTCATAGTATTTTTTATTCCATTGGATGGGAAGCTTGTTTAAGTAATTCAGAGATTCACACGCAGCAAAACATCTGCCAGGTCTTGGAAAGGTTTTAAAGGAATGAACTATGAGTTGAGTGCTTTTCACTCACCTCATAGTTCTAGCCGACCTGTGACAATGAGACTGTCACAGGTCGGCTCAGTAGATCGGGAGGTGAGAGAACACATACCGGCGGTCGCTCACCTCTCGATCCTGTCACGGCTCTCTGCCGTGACAGGGGAGGGGCTGGATTCCCCCCTCGCTGACTGGCGGAACGGACGGGAGAGGGGGCGGGTACAGCTGGCTCTGCCTCTAGATAGGCAGAGCCAGCTGTCACTCACGCAGCTGGGCGGATCTCAACATCGGGATCCGCTCCGGCTGCGGCATCTCAGTATACCGCTAGCTGTAGCTCGCGGTATACTGAGCTTAGGGTGACGGAATGACGCTAGTTTGTGTCCTCCCGTTACCCTAAGGAGAACTATGGGGAAAAACCCTGACCCCATAGTTCTCCTTTAATGGAGCGCAGCACTGTGCTGTTATATACTTGTCGAAAAAATATATTGTATAAAAATAAAATAATAATAACAACAATAATTAATAAATATAATAAAATAATAGTGCAGGGGTGTGACCAGCCCACCTGAGACCCTGCAAAACACACCATAGAGATTCTATGGTGAGTCTTTGCAGGGTCACTCTCTGGTGGGCTGTGTGGCATCTCAGGAGGGCTCTGCAAGGGGTGTAACTAGAAATCACAGGGCCCCATACAAAATGTTTTGATTTCTAGTTACGCCCTAGGGGTAGCATGTTATAAAAGGTCTGAGCCTGGGTGCAAGCAGAGGAGGAGTGAATCTGTGGCCGGCTAATTTGTGTGTGCTTTCATACACAGAGTAATAATTCAATATTGAATACTAATACTAATAATTTCATATTATTTTAGAGATGTCTGGCACCAGTGACGACATTTCACTTGTATATTGGACCCAGAAATGGTTGGAGAACGGGACCCTTTACTTCCATGTATCTTTGCATATGAGGGAACATACTTCAATCAGCACCTCCCCAACGGTGCAGGAACCTGTGCAAGAACTGGATGAGCAACTTCATGTTCTTCATGTGTCGGTCATGGTGAGTCTTAATTTCTTGCTAATGACAGAAAGAATGAGCTGGAGCGTTCAGCATAGGCTTAAGTAGAATAAATAAGAAAATAGCATCAAGGTGTTACAGTTGATGGCGACCAGATTCCATCAAGATATCATCTCCAATCCAGGAGGGAGGAAGAAGGTAGCCATCAACAAAATGGAACGGCTTCTGTCCTTCTGAAATTGCTTCAATAAAGTTGATCATATTTCAAATTTCAAAAGCTAATTCTGCCTCAGTGACCATGTTCCATGTTATTTAGGGCATAACATGAAACACGGTTCCCATTCCCCAGCCACCCACCCCCAAACCGCACCTCCCCTTCCTCATCGCAGTGTCTTGTATTTTTTGTTAATTTGGCACGGTTGTGTATGGCGTCACCCATTCAACTGCATCATCCATTCACAGATCCATTATAAGGTAAGACCACAAATCCCACCATGTGTCACGATCTGGGATCAGGCTCGGAGTCCAGTAGCTGAAACAGCAGGCAAATTTGTGGTATAACAGGCTGGGTTTGGTACACAAGCAGACGGTAGTGGTATAGGAGGAGGCAGAAGCGTAGTCAGCGAACAAGCCGAGGTCAGTAGACAAAGGTATCAGGTATGAAGCGGAAGACGATGAGAGTAGTTGATGAATCAGCAGACAAAGGTCGGTACACGGGTAGCAATATGAGCGGATTGTATCACAGAGGGAGCAAGGAAGCAAGATATTAGCAGGAGCACAATAATCTGGCAAACAGGAAGTGCAGGGGCGGGGCTTAAATGGGAAGTTCAAGGGAGGAGCAAGGAGTTCAGAGTTCAGCAGACACTAGGTATAACTGAGGATTACACAGGAGATCAGGCAAGGAACCTATCCAAGGTTCTAAGGTGGCTCAGCAGGTAGAACCGCTGCCAGCTACAGCTGAGGCCCTGGGTTCAGATCCAGTTCCTGACACCATGGCAAAGGGACTTATGATGTAGGTCTCAATGGAGAACAAGCGCAGTAATGTTGCCGCACCTCTACTCCATTGATCACTTCCTCCAGCCCCATAACCAATGGTATGGACTTCTGTAAAGACCTGGGACTGGAAAAACAGCCTCCAGGAGCCTGTGCATTGCACTGACACTCTGCTGATTATGGATGCAATGCTTTGCAGCCTCCAAATCAAAAAATATTCCCTGCACACTTTTTCTTTCATCAGTGTTGGCGCACTTCATCAACTTTTGGCAAAAGGTGGAATATGCCGTTAATATATGGTGCCATGTCTTTTACCAGCAAATCAAGTGGAAGGATAGTCAAGCAGTGGTTCTCAACCTGTGTAACCTCGGGACCCACATTTGTCCTCGGTCATTAAGTCGTGACCCAAGTTGCACTGCAATGTTCCATGTTGCAGTACTGCGCTTTCCGGTGCAGGCGATTGAACTGTGGGTGGGAGGTGCGTTTGGGTTGCCATTACGGAAACTGGAGTGGATCCTCAACCTGGGGTGCAGTGTGGGCTGCTGTGCTGTGATGGAGCTCCATCCATATGTGTATTGCTTATAAAGCTCCCGTGTGCACCCGTAGAGGTTCCGGGAGCCAGAATGTGATGAGCTGTAAGCAATGCACATATGGATGGAGCTCCCTCGCCGCCATAGCCCCAGCCCAGCCCACCCCACCCCACCTTAAGTCGACACTCGGCACCGGGCATCTTATTTTTGCATGGCTGCTCGGTGCGAGATTTGACCGTGCTTCTCCAGAGGGAGGCTGAGGATCTTCTCACTTAGAAAAGTGGAAGGCATGTGGCGACCCACTGGACATGGGGTCGCGACCCACTTTCGGGTCACGACCCACCAGTTGAGAACCAAGGGTCTAAAGGCTTATATGGAGGGAAGTGTGCAGCTCAGGAACAGCCATTTTGTGTCTGTTTTCAAGGTCTACAGAACTGTGTAGTTCAATTATATTGTCATTTAAACCCTAGAAAAATGTAGAATAACACTTTGAGGTCCCATAAATGGACATCAACCATTTTTTTTTTTTGGCCCTAACACAAATCAAGAAGTCTATGAAGGTTCTCATTCATCCAGGTCATAGTACATCTGTAACAATTAAATCAAGGCAACTGGACTCGCTGTATTTTTCTTGAAGGCGTTTCACTGGTCATCCGACCAGCTTTCTCAAAGCGGAAGGAGGGGTGGTGCTGACATAGATTGTTCACTGGGTCAGCTGTCAGTGGCTCTGTCGGCCCAGCTCACAGACATCACAGGTTGCCAGGAGTTCGGCGGGATGCAAACCTGAGCCTCTTGACAGCCGGTGCTGTCAGTGAGCTGTGAGGGGATCCGAACAGAGCGTCACAGGTTGTTAAGAGCTCTTTGCGTCACAGGTTGTTAAGAGCGCTGTGGCCTCCGCCTCCATCCCCTGGCCACCCCCCAATGAGATGCCGCCTGATCCAACCTCTTCAGACTGCCTCATTATAGAGACGGCCCTGGTCTACACCATCTGTCACCCCATCAATTTGACACCATCCGGGTAACTCAAACAACTAACACTTGTCTAAGACTTCAAGATACCATGGTGACTGAATTATGTAAATTAGAACAAGGTGTTTTCACAAACATTTACATCTCCCATCATGTTCATGTACAATCTGCCATGTTAAATGCCATGAAACTAGGGATGTCCCGATACCGATACTAGTATCGGTATCGGGGCCCATACCAGGCATTTTCACGAGTACTTGTACTCGTGAAAATGCCTTGATTCTTAAGGCCGATTCTTTATATCCTGCCTGTCCGGTTCTTTATCTCATCCTCCTCCTTCCTGGCATAGGCACAGCCATGGACAGCCCCGAGGGTGGAACTACCGCCTCAGGGCTAGAAGCTGGGGGTTCCCGCCGCACACTGATGGGGAGGACTGGGCCGGGAGGTAGATGAAAGTCGCGGGGCCCAGCAGCGCAGATAGTCGGCCAGACTGGACGTGGTAGCATCAACGGTCTGGACATGGGAGAGGCCGGGTCCCGGCACTGCCGATGAGGTGGAGTGCCCGCAGAGCACACTGCAGATGTCCATGTCACCCGGGTGAGATCGACACATAGCCTGGTGAGAGGAATTCTGCTTTGGGGACGTGTATTCGCAGAATACATGTCCCCAAAGCAGAATACTATTCTGCCTTAGGGACATGTGTTCTGCTTTGGGGACATGTATCTTGCCTTGTGGACATGTATTCTCAGAACACATGTCCCCAAAGCAGAATATTATTCTGCCTTAGGGAAATATGTTCTGCTGTGGGGGCATGTGTTCTGTTTTGGGATCATGCATCCTGCATTGTGGACATGTATTCTCAGAACACATGTCACCAAAGCAGAATACTATTCTGCCTTAGGGACATGTGTTCTGCTGTGGGGACATGTGTTTGGCTTTGGGGACATGTATTTGGCTGTGTGGACATGTATTCAGTTCTGGTGACATCCGTATTTAGCCCTGGTGAGAAACTGCCCCAAAATCATCAGTCTGTGTTGTTTTAGAAAACAAAGTCACCTGTCCCTAGGGTTGCCACCTGTCCGGTTTTCAACCGGACAGTACGGTTTTGGCATCTTGTGTCCGGTTTTCCGGCCACCGTAGCCCCGTACACGAGATGTCACAAGTTCAGGCAGACAGGGGCAGCCCCTGGGTCCTAGAGAGGAATGCGTGAAGGAGGACCTTCTGCTGTGTGAGCACAATCCCGGCAGAGCGTGCGGCTGTCTGTGAGGCTAGAGGTACGTGTTTTAAGGGGTTAATCCGGGCCGGTGCTAGTGTGCAATCGTTATACAGACAGTGCCCTATAGTCTCTGAACTGTCAGAACGCTGTCTCCTGTCCCGTTGGAGCTGCGGGGGGAGGGGAGG